TATATTGCCACAGAGACAAAGCACCAGCCATTGACTGGGAGCAATGGGGACTGGGAGCAATGGGGACTGGGAGCAATGGGGACTGGGAGCAATGGGGATGGGGCTGGCTGGCTGCCTGCCACACAGCATCGGTCTCTGGCCGTCTCCGTGTCTCCGTGGACGGGTGCGTCTGCTCCCCTCCTCCTTTCACTTTGCTCTGGGAAGGGAAAGGCCCATAGTGGAGCCTCAGTGATTTATAGGAAAGGCAAGGATGGGAAATGGGAATACAAACACATGGCCTGCATCGGAAATTGGGCTCAGCCGGCCCCGTGATTTATCTGTGCCGAATTCCGCTTTGCTGCTTCCCTCAGCTGCATTTTCAGTTATTTGTTTTAAAGCGTAGGATTGAGCAAGACAAACAAAGCCAGCGCCCCTCTCCTCCCTTCCTCTCCAGCAGTCGCCACTGACTTGAAAGATGGTGGCTGGGAAGGAAGACCGATCCTCCTTCCAGCTCCAGCGTGGCAGTGCGGCAAGCTGGGACAATGCGCCCGGAGGGCCCCGGGCAGCGCCTCCAACGGCCCCTCACGCTGCCGGGTCCCCTGGGAAGGCCGGGGCTCCTCGCGCTCCCTCCCCAGCCTCCCCTGGCCCTGCCACCCCAGCTGCCATGTGAGGGAGCCCAGGGCTTGGGTTCCCTTGAGCCTTTCCTTTCTTTTCCATCCCCGTGTGGAAAGTGCTTTCTTCTTTGCTGCAACCCCATCTCCAAGGTTGTGCCGCAGCGCTGGCAGTCGGGGCCGCATGGTGCAGACTTGCCGAGTCCCGCTTTGCACCCTGCTGCTGGCTGGGTTAAGAGTTTCTCTTTGTCTTTAATTCCAAAATTACACCATGGGTGCAATTCAGTTGACCTCTCTGCTTCCCCCTCCGTGACTCTGTGAGCACAAAGCATCGGGACATGCATATCCTCTGGGTCTGTGCTTTCAAAAACAAACTCTGCTTTTTCTTTTTTTTTCTTTTTTTTTTCTTTTTTTAAAAAACATCTCTCTTACCCTTTACGAGTGCAAGCTGTCTTTTTAATGAAGTGAAGCTCGCGCAGCCGGTGCCTGTGAAATGCCGCTTAAACATCCTCAAAGTGTTTGTGAGAACATTGCAATAACAAAGTGCTCCGTGCGGCTGAAGAATGCCGCGGGAACAAAAGCCACATCAACAGAGCAGGGACTAGGGAATACTAAATAGTTGACAGGAATTTTAATATAAAACTCTCTCTCTTCCTTGTCAGTTAGGGTTTTCAGGAAGCCCTCTGGCTTATCGTAAAGCGGCATACAGCACAGACAGGGGCTGGGGAGGTGAAAGGTGGCTTCCTGCCATTCTTCTCTGGAGCTGGGTTCCCATGGGCGGTCATGCCAGTTTGACTGTGGTTTGTTCCACACTCGTGTGACACAAGGAGATCAGGATTACGGCTGCTGCGGGGGACTGGATTTTCATGGGCTAACGGCGAGTTTAGGGTTTCTAGCCATGAACCGCTTCAATGGACTCTGCAAGGTGTGCTCGGAGCGGAGATACAGACAGGTCTGTATCTCCCAGGGGAAAAAAAAAAATCGGTGTGCCAGCATGTGTGCGTGCGTTGCTGCAAGTCTCGGTTAAGTTTACGAGTGTCTGTGGGCTTTCTTGCCATTTCTGGGCTGTGTGTGTGCTGTTTCTAGGGTGTTGATTTGCTATCGTTGTAATTTGTAAATGATAATGTTGGGAATATAAGGAAAGCATCTTCACATAGGTGTCTCTGGCTGATCTCTGCCCGTTGCTGCAGTGTGTAAGTGGGGATAGAGGGGGAGCATTTACTGTGTAACTTGAGGGCAGCATGCCGACGATGAAAGCGCTAAGCTGTGAAGTGGTGTCTCAATTTACTCATTAGAGAAGAGGCAGGCACAGCAGGCAGCTGAGTCTCTGCCAGGCTGCTACTATCTCTTTTTAAAATTGTTTTAATGTGAATGTATTGGGGAATCAAGTGTTGCTTGAAGCTGGTTACAACCAATGGCGACTTGCTTTATGAGAAGTAGATTGCTGTGCTCTGTAAAAGCAAGTGCAAATTCTCTTGGACCCGCTCGGTTTTGCTTGCGTGGGTCCCAGTCTCCTGCACTTTGCAACACAATTTTCTCCCCATGGTCTGGATTGGGGCTCTCGGCTCGTGGTCAGCTTTTCTCTGCACTCCTGTGCTAATCTTTCACGACATGCTAAAGATGCTGTGGGGGACAGTGTATATTGGGAATTGCACAAAGAACCAGCTTAACTAAAAATCCCCACTTCTTACCA